CGGTCCCCTGATTCAACAGTACTACGTCCAACGCAGCGAAGGCCTCAAGCAGTGCGTGTCCCTTGTATATGGCGTCCGAGCTGCTGCTTCTGGAGATGTCGCTGTCCCTCTCCTGGGCCCGAGCATTGAAGTCGCCAGCAATCACATTTTGTTTGTGGTGCCTGGCGTCGTCGGTCAATTCGTCCATCGCCGCAGCGAAGCTATGACGGCTCAGGCTTGGGAGGTGATAGCAACTGTAAATCCATAAGTTCCCCAGTTTTGCCCTGACGAAATGTCGGAACTCAGCGCACACTGAAGGCCGTAGAGGAGGGTTACCGCAAGCCCATATTGCTGCTTTGCCTGAGGAGCTTTGGACCCAGAATCCATCCTCGGGGGAAATGTAGGGTTCACTAATTATGGCAACGTCCGATCTCATTTCACGCACCGACTGAGAGAGCAGATCTGTGGCAGCCTCGCAATGGCTTAGGTTTATTTGGTAAAACCTAACCATGTCCAGCGTATTGACTTGCCTTCTCTTTGGGTGCCATGGGGCACCTGTGGCTACCAGCTACGTGTGTGTGGGGCTTGCTCTTTCCAACGCAAAGGAAGCATTTTGCCTCATTGTGGCAGTCACTTACCTTGTGCTCCACAGAACCACAGCGGAAGCACCACCCGCTTCTGTCCACAGAGCTTTTGCAATTTAGTGCAACGTGGCCGATCTCAAGGCACCTGAAGCACTTTAACGGAAGGTTTCGCTCCCGTATGCGGCAGACGGACCATGCCACTTTGACCTTTCCGACGGAGAGCGCCTTCGTCGCAAGGGTCGCCGGCAGGCACATAATAGCCCGCTGGGTACCACCAAAGCCTGGGCGCAAACTCTTAATGGCGTCCGCATCGAGAGTAATCCCCATTTGCTCGCTGAAGGCCTTCCTCACGTCCTCCGTGGTAGCCATCTCGTCCAAGTCGAGCATCTCTAGCCTCGTCTGCTGGGTGAGCGCTCTCGCCTCCACCTTGCCTCCTAGGGCAGTGCCTATGTCCTCGCTCCCATTCACCTTCGGTAGGTGCAGCTCTTTCGGTCTTTCTTGCCGGGTGTTCATGTGACTGCGACGTGGGGTGGCCACTCATATTGTTTCTCCGCTTCGGCGAGCTCCTCGTCGGCTGTAGTGTGTATATAAATACGGCTGATAAGCAACAAGCCTTCAGTTACCAGCAACATTGAGTTGACAATATTGCGACTCTTTTTTTTGTTAAACTTTTTTGTTTAGACCTTGTTTTAGTCAAAATACATTAAATGGAAGTACTAAAAAGTAATTAATCTTGTAGAATATTTATTCATCAACGGTCTAAAATTATGTATGCAGAACTAAGAGTTTTAGTTAGCCAGAATTATTCAATGGAATCTCTAAATTGAGCAATATGAACGACTATCCTCTTTCGTTTTTTTGCGTGACCTATTTCGCTAAAACTTTTTTTGTTTGAATTATTTCGCTAGAAACTTTTTTCAGACAAGATCCAATAAAAGCAAGTGTTTTAAATAAGCCAGTCAGGTAGAAAATTGCTTCATTAATCGGATAAAATTATGTGGGCAGGGCTGAGGTTCGATTCAGTTAGTTATATTGCACGGAATATCATAAAAACGAGGAATATGTATAATAGAGCTTGAACTGGTCAGTATATTTATGGTATATTTTTAAAATTAATCGGTATATTTTGGTATATTTCTGAGGGTCGACAGTATCTCTTATCGATATATCGATATCTTATCGATCCGCTGTCACACGGGACAGAACAGCAGCGCGTCGTCGAAGTGAAAAAAATAAATATTAATACAATATAACAAGTGCGTTCGCGCGTCCGTGTGTCTGTGTGTGTGTGTGTGTGTGTAGGGAAACAGGCAGAGGCAACTAGCAGAAATAGCAAAAGGAGACACAACAGCACCAGCAAATACTTCCCGGAACAAAAAAATGCAGAAATTTTGCACTAGGCGGTGCGGATGCGGATGTTAACAGCAAAAATGCTATTCGCTATTCAAAAAATGCCGCAGAAATTCTAGCAGCAACAACAACACAGGCACAGGAAACCAAAATCGGTGTGAATTTTTTTTCGTGGATAGTGGTTGCGGGTTGCGGATAGTGGAGCCTCGAAGAGTTGTGGGTTGTGGAGTAGAGCGGAGTGGAAAGGTGGAAAGTAAAAGTGGCTGCGGTGGCGGTGACTGTGCTTACTGACTCTGTATGTGCGCGCGTGAATGTTTGTGTGTGTGCTGTGCCAAAAAGAAGTTGCAGAAATATCAGAGTTACGCAAAAACAACTACAACAACACTGCCGCAAAAGTTATTGTGTAAAATAATTAAGTTGCAAATACATTGCCAAGAGAGCGCGATTGATTGAGTGAGAGTGCAGTGTAGTCCCAGTCCTATTACAGATTACAGTGAGTGACAGGCAGAGTGTGTGTTGGGAGCGACGACGAGGCGAGCGAAGAGGCGAGGCGAGGCGGAAGAGGCGACCCGGCGCAATGAGCATTATTGGTGAGAATAACGGCAGCAGCAGCATCCCCCCTAACACCGCTACCGCCACCGTCATAGCCACGGCCAATGGGCCGCGCGTCGTTACCATTTACAAGACGGAAACTGGCTTCGGTTTCAATGTACGCGGTCAGGTGTCCGAGGGCGGACAATTGCGCTCCATCAATGGCGAACTGTACGCTCCCCTGCAGCATGTCAGCGCTGTCCTCGAGAACGGAGCGGCCGAGAAGGCTGGCATCAAGAAGGGCGATCGCATACTGGAGGTGTAAGTATTACAAGTGGGTGTGTTTAAGAGGGTTCCTGTTCCTACTAGACGTCTGGAATGCCCGGTCGGTTCGGTCTGGTCTGGGCCTGCCATTCCACTCTAGCCTGGAGCACTACTTGAAGGGGGGTTGCTGAATTGAGAGAGAGAGAAAGAGACGTCGGCACGCGCTGCCTGGGAATATCAATAAACGTTTGTGTGTGTCGTTTTTGGGTGGGTTGTCCGTCCACCCATATAATATAAGAGGGCTGTTACAGAACTTCCCCATGTGCTGATATGACGTAGGCTGCAGGCCTTAGAGGAAGCAGTGTAGAAGTCCTCATTCAACGGTAGGTTAATATTTGTGTAATCTATACATTTATTAAGAGTACACCTTTGTGCTCAGCCCTTGCTTAGGCGCTGTCGGAATTAAAGCCGATTTGGCAGCCCTGGCTTTTTAATTACGTTACATCTTCATTCCTCCACCCACGTTCCCATATTTATTCTCTTCTGCATGCTTTAGTTGTGTGTGGGAGTGGGTGTGTGTGTGCTTTCTTCAATGGCATAACATTATGCCACACAAAAACACACAGGCACATATACAAAAGCTAATTAAAATGCTCGCTCATAGCATTTGGAATGTTCTCTCTTTCTCTCACTCTCTTTGTCTTGCATCTTTGACATTTTGGTTTTGCGCTCTGATATTTCGTTATCAACAGATGACGTTCCATTCTACTCCCATTCCATCAATCACTTAATTCTATTGTATGTGTTCCCCCCCAAGTTTGTAGTTTTTCGTTCAATGGTGCGGGTGGGCTGTCGTTGTCGTTGTCCCTGTCCCCTGTTCTATGACCACTATCCATTCTATCCACTCGCTTTTCGACACGAAATTGAATTAATAAATTTACAGAAGTCTCGTTACACGTTTGCGCAACCAACAACTTAATTATCATCAGCACCTCCGCCACACTGTCCACCGCCTTTTCATGCCCATGCGCTCCTTCCAATCTCGTCCCCACTCACGCCCCCTCAATCCACACGCGCTAAAAACTTGCAAATTTTCCACATTTTTCACACATATTCCCCATTGCAAAAAAAAAGAGAGAATGTGTGTTATAGCAGGGGAGAGAAGACACATAGAGGGAGATACAGGTAGGGACAGAGATAGAGTCAGCATGGTGTGCGGGTTTGCAGACGGTGGGGAGAGGAGACAGGGACAACTGAAAGCGAGAGAGACGGCGTCCTCCTCGTCGTCTATTGTGTGCGGTTGTGGGGAGGTGGCTTGTTGTTGCTATTTGCAGTGGTTCATCATTTCATTATCAACAACAACAACACCAGCGTGAGAATGAGCAAGAGGAGGTGAAATAGCTGCCGTTATAATTTGGCTGCGCGTGAGCTAACAAAGCGATCGGTAGAGGGCGCGCAACGCAAACAATAGCAACAGCAACAAGAAAGCAAACAAGAATAGAAGGGCCGAAGCTTTTGATACCCTCGCTGATTGATCGTTCCAAAGGCAGGTCTAAACTATAGAAAAATTTGAGTTGATAACACTAGGCAACAAACAGCTGATAAATGCAGATTCAACTAAAAAGAGTAATTTACAAAAATTTTTTCATTAAAACTATTTCAGTTTTTACCAGTATTTAAAAATTAAAAAAAAAAACATAACATATTAAAAACGAGGAGTAACATTGTGAGTCGCAGCTACGGCCGCAACTCTACATTTATTCCCAATTACCCGGGAGCCAGTATGGCCCCCCTCCGCCAGAGGGCACACACTGCACGTTGAGAGTGTGTGTGTGAGAGAGCGATACTTTATATGGTCGGAAATGCTTCCTTCTGGGTGTTACGCACATCCACTTTCACCACAAATCTAATATACCCTCATTACAATACTCATTTTAAGTATAAAAAGTATTTCATCAAACAAATTTAAATCCCCAAAAACTATCAGAAAAGGTGGCTTTGGTTCGAAGCGTAATTGAAAAGTTACATTTTTCTGCTTAGTGTAATCTGCAGTTTCGAATAAATATGTATACGCTTTCTGCGTGCAAAATCATACGAATTAATTGTTTTCGCGTTGGACGCCTGCTGTTCCCCTCTCTGTCCCTAAGTTTATCCACAATTTCACTATCAACGAGGGCTAACGCGAAACTATGAGTAGTTTCGGGGAGAAGTTTAATTGATAGAAGAATTGAGATCCTTCGGGGAATGTGTACTCTAAGCCTTAACCTAATTCTAGAATACTTTTGCTCGAAATATTTGAATACACGTTATATCGGTTGGCTATATCGCAATTGGCTCGTTTGTTAATCTGTGTTTGGGGCGTTCCTCCACTCTCTGCACAAACATCCGCCCCCGTTCTGTGCGGCTCTAGTGGTTTGTGGCCCGTGAGCCTGTAATCAGCACAAACAACCGTCTTCCGTCTTTATTTTTACTCTTTCTGATTGTACATATTTTTCATTTACGTATATTGTATACAACAAATTTGTATTCAAGAAAAATCCGTATGTCAGAGCTTCCTGGACCACAAATACTTGACCAAAGACCGCCAATTCCAATGATCCTCTATCAGGGCCGTCCGCTCTGCGGTCCATAGGGTAGGAGCGGCGTTGCATAGGCTACCGTTGCAGCGGGCACAGTACGGGTCGTTGGCACTGCACTCGGGAACCTCGCCCGCACATCCTCGCACCGTGTATACTAGATCCAGGCGACTGATGACTGTGCTCACGCACAGCTCCACCGGATTCGTGCAATTGCTGACGGTCATCGCCTCCGGGTTGGTCATGGCCGCGCAATCATCGTCCTGCTCCTGCGAGTTGCAGCGGTAGCAGCTGCGGACGGACCACCTGTTGCACCCATCGCTGTTTCGGCAAAACTGGCACCTCTCGCCGCCGTTGTCGGAGGGTGAGAAGTCGGCATCGGCGCATCCACGTCGCAGGACAGTATCTGCCGTCAAAAAGAAGGAAAGGACATCAGAGTGAGAGAGACAGAGAGAGAAAGAGAGACACAGAGAGAGAGAGAGAGAGTTGTACAGTACTAATGTAAACAATATTTATCGTATATTTTGGAATAAATTCATGCAGCCCGATTCCCAATTCGCGAGCTCCTATTTCCCCACTCACCCTAACCTTGCTCGCAAGAATAGCAGGCCACGGTACCATTGGCGCACTTCTCCGTGGGGAGGTTACGGCCGGAGCGGCAGCCCGGATTGCTGGTCGAATTACACACGGCGCAGACAATGTCCTGGCACTGGCCGTTGCAGAAGTCGCCGGAGCACTGGCTCAGCTCTCCGGTGGGGAAGAAGCCCATGGTGGTGGAGCAGCCGCGCTGCAGCACCTCCGTCTGGGTGTTGAGGTGCGTGTAGCAGCCCTCGCGGTGGCCGTACATCACTTTGTTGGTGCACTGTGCAACCGTATCGTTGCTGACGGAGCACTGTTGCGGCTGCTGGCCCTCCGTTGGCGCCTCCTGCTTGCGCAGGCAGTCAGGATTGGGAGACAGGCGTTGGTGGGTGCATTGGAGGCAGCGACTCTCGGTGACGGTGCGCTCCGCGTTACAGCCGTTGTAGTTGCACTTGAGGCAGACGTGCGGACAGGTGTCGGGCAGGTTGGTGTGCTCACAGCCGCGTTGCGTGTTGGACAGGTGGACAACGTTGGTGTAGCAGCGATCTCCTTCCCAGTAGACGGGGCAGGGCAACAGCAGATGCGGTTTGGCCGTCACGTCGATGCAGTCCGATCCGGTGCACTGGTAGCAGCGCAGACGGTCCGTGGGATACACATGTCGGTTGCAGAGGCTCGTGTTGCATCGTTCGCAAGGCTCCGCGCAATAGCCGTTCGGATGGAGCCGGGCCAGGCAGCCGCGACGCGTCAGACCCGCCGTGATCGAAGTGACGCACTCGTCGCCGGCCGCCGCGCACTCTTCCACCTCCAGCTGCTGGCCTGGCCGTGTGGCGCACTCCGAGTCCTCGGCCGAGTCGCAGGTATAGCACTCCAGAGACTGGGACGCGTCCAGCAGCAGGGTCAGCGTAGCAAAAGCGACCAGCAGCAGCCGGAGGAGTAGCTCCTTCTTCTTATTCCACTTGTTTGCCATCGTCTGAGGCCGTTCGTTCAGCGACAGCGACTCCGTGAATAGATTGGCAGACAAAGAACCGCTGCGATTTGGCCTGCAGCTCGATAAGATTAGGGCACTCAAGTGGTTCCAGGTCCCAGGGCTAAAAGTGGAAGAGGCATCGGAAAGCGATTTTCGCGGATAAGGCTCTGGATGGGGATACGTTTTTGGTTTTGATAAGACAACTGCAGAGAACTGCACTCTTGGAAGTGCTTCAGTGCGTAGCCAAAGAAATGTCCAACGACATACTTTTTACATCGCCCCCGGCGAGGTGCTGAAAAAATCGAATCTACCTCCCAGTTCTCGGGCTCGAGCCCCTCACGCCACGCAATGAGTTATCTCTGCTCGACTCGAGTTTCGTTGATGAGGCCTAATATATCTGCTGATCTAGGAGCTCCGAGAAGGAACACGCCAGAAGCCCCAACTAACTACACATGACAACTAATTGCATTCAAGACTATAGTAATAGTTCTTTGGTCGTACCCAATGCTTATTTCTCACGATAAAACATGTCGTTTCTTTAGTTCGAGTAGAGTTGCTCATTTAACGAGCCCAATTGGACAGCCTGAAATCCTGGTGGGATGTGAGGTGGAGAGACGCGACGCTGAAAGCTTCTTCCATTTGTTTTCCCCAAGACGTCCTTTCAAGACGTTAGCTCCCCATTCATGGCTCTGAATGGAAGCTTTAGCATAATGGAGGACCTAAAGAGAACCCAAGAATGATTTCAATTTTTCCATCTGCATCTTTTGTACCGTAGTGCACTTGGTGGTTACCACCTACCCAGGAGACGCATCCCTTACCTTGGCTGCTGGATGTCGCCTCTGCCCTGCCACTCGGGCCACTTAACATTGTGCTCGGGGGTGGGCTGTGTGGTACAAACAGGGGGCGCACTTGTGGGCTGTGGTGGGTGGGTGTACGATTCAATCAATGGGGATTATGAACTATTTTCAGTTTGCGGTTTCGTTTTGTTTGGTTTCCGCTTTCTTTACCGTGTGTTCTGATGCGTTGCCCCGAGTTCCGGACGACACAGAACCTCCCACAGGGATCTGCATACCTTTGTACACATATTTTTATGTCAGTATTTCAATCACAAGCATCATAGCATGAATAAACTTCTGGACAAAGAGTGTCGTCGTCCTTTGAAATTGCATTCTGTAAGATGATTTTTATAATTAAAAAAAAAAAGAAATTCCTTGCTCCTTTTCTCTGTTCGAGTACATGCCTTTGGATGCCTTTCTTGAGGGGGCAAGGGCAGTACTCCTTCTCTTCCTTTGGTAAAATAAATAATTAAAGTTGTGATTCATGGTCTTTAAATATTGAAATCCTTGCATACATTCATACATTTATTGAAGCTTGTGGCACCAACAACCAACAAGCAACAACCACTCCTAAGAAGCGAGTGTAGTCGATTCGATTTTGTTCGTAGCAATCCATTTGTGGGTTCTATTCCTGCTTTGCTTTGTTTTCCCTTCAATACAGCCCTCGAATTTGTGTGTTGCGGTTGAGTTCTGTGTCAGTGTTGCTGTTGCTGGTGGTTTTATGGCATATGCCCCAACAATAATCAATAGGTTTGCGTCACTGGATGGCTGGATGGTTGGGGAGCGTTTTTTGTTGCTATTTTCCTAGCCCACATTTCCAAATTTCCCAGACTTACATACCTCCCTCTCTGTAGCTCTGTGGCTCTGTGGCTCTACGGTACGGTGTGTTCGGGCGGTTTCAGGTTTTTGTTTCGCTTTTGGGGTTCGTTTTGTAACGTTCCGGCTAAGCCAGAAATAAACAGAATTCGAGGAGGGGAATGGTAATAGTAATGTTATGGTAATGCTTAAAGGTATAGGGTATGGTATAGGCAGACAACATCAAACAGCAATTGGGAACAAGGCACAGGGCCAGAGGATTAGAGTGCTAAGCTCTACTGCAAGGGAGAAGAATTTTCACCTGCCCCTCATGCCCCAAAGAGATTAACTTTCGATGGGAGCAACCATCCAGCCATGTTATAGAGACTTCTTTAGTATATACACATTAGCATACGTACATCCATAGATTGTTTAAATTTGTTTGGCCATTAGAATGAAATAATTGTGTAAACATTGAAAAGAACGGGGACTACTATTTCTTATTTATTCGGAGTGGTGGGCTGGGGCTTGCCAATAATTATTCGATTTTCTCAACTTAAACAATTAAATTAGCGCCATAGCGCCCCCACATGTCCACAGCAAGAACTAGAGGCACAATATATCGCGAGGGTAAACATATGTATGTGCAAATTGAATATGTTGTAGAAAATCCAATTTGCATTTTCCTAGAGCTACTTACGGACTTTCCGACCGCGGGTATACATACATATGTGCCCTTAGATGTGATACGAGTATATTAGAACTAAGGAGAGGTCTGCAGGACTACGTCGAAACTGTTTTTGGTCTAAAATCTACCCAGGATAAGTGAATACTCTACTCGATATATTCTTTGATTTCGCCCCTGTTGCTTCTGCACCTCTCCAGTTTTTATACCCGATACTCAAAATGAGTATTGGGGTATATTAGATTTGTGGTAAAAGTGGATGTGTGTAACGTCCAGAAGGAATCGTTTCCGACCCCATAAAGTATATATATTCTTGATCAGCATCAATAGCCGAGTCGATTGAGCCATGTCCGTCTGTCCGTCCGTACGTTTGTCCGTCCCTATTAGCGCCTAGTGCTCAAAGACTATAAGAGCTAGAGCAACGATGTTTTGGATCCAGACTTCTGTGATATGTCACTGCTACAAAAATATTTCAAAACTTCGCCCCGCCCACTTCCGCCCCCACAAACGACGAAAATCTGTGTCATCCACAATTTTAAAGATATGTGAAAACCAAAAACGCAGAATCGTAGAGAATGACCATATCTTATAGACTGCAGAATCTGAATTGGATCGTATTATTATTATAGCCAGCATCCCGCCCTGTCTCTCTCTAACACACACGTAGCATAGGCGGCTTTGCTTAGAGTAAAACATTAGCGCCTAGATCTCAGAGACTATAAAAGCTAGAGCAACCAAATTTGGTATCCACACTCCTAATATATCGGACCGAGACGAGTTTGTTTCAAAATTTCGCCACACCCCCTTCCGCCCCCGCAAAGGATACAAATCTGGGGATATTCACCAATCTCAGAGACTATTATGGCTAGAGTAACCAAATTTAGTATCCGCACTCCTGTTAGATCTCACTATAAAACGTATATCTCAAAATTTCGCCCCACCCCCTTCCGCCCTCACAAAGGACGAAGAACTGTTGCATCCACAGTATTGAAGATACGAGAATCATAGATAATGACCATATCTATCAGATTGCTGAATCTGGATCAGATCAGATCAGTTTTATAGCCAAAAGGAACAAAACAATTTGCACTGGCTACGCAGCGCCCGACGTCACGCTCAGCCTGATTTTCTGTCTCTCTCGCACGCACTCTTTGTCGTGTCGTTTAATATTAGCGCCGTCTGCCGGAGGAGAGCCATACTGACTTAGTATCGGGTATAACTGTAGAGTTGCGGTGTCCGCAGCAACTCACAACGTTCCCCCTCGTTTCTTTTCCTTTATGGAAGCCCAATACCAACAATTACACTGGTTGTCCAAATGTTCCTTCGCATGACACGCTAGGGCATCAGGGGGCAGAAATCCCCAATGAACCTTTCTATGAAGTGTTCGAGAATCATGGCGCGTTATAATACTCGTAGATTGGGTAGGTTTTCTTTAGCTTAAAAGCAGCGTGTTTCAGCGTTCTTTTCAATCCTATCACTCCCACACATTGTTGCAAGCATGTTGCAAAGTCCATTTGAAAAATTGAACAAAAAATAGATAGAACAATTTCTTTGTGGCGGCATTTTTTATAACACTATTTATTTATTTCATTTGTATATTCCTAACGGGACAGTATTTCTAATTTATGTTAATGTGCTACTCACATGGAGCTCTCATAGTTGTGTGCTTTTAAACATAATGATTTTCTTATTCTAGCATTTTTATTACGACTAATAATTTTATTTAGTACTACTAATTCTAATACTAATTTTATGTTTTCTTATTGTATGTTTTTATCTTTATATACTCGATACTCAAAATTAGTGATTTGTGGTGAAAATGGATGTGTGTAACGTCCAGAAGGAAGCGTTTCCGACCCCATAAAGTATATATATTCTTGATCAGCATCAATTGCCGAGTAGATAGAGCCATGTCTGTCTGTCCGTCCGTCCGTTTGTCCGCCTCTATGAGTGCCTAGTGCTCAGAGACTATAAGAGCTAGAGCAACGACATTTTGTATCCAGACTTCTGTAATATGCCACTGTTATAAGTGTATTTTAAAATTTCGCCCCGGTTTCTATTTGTTATATGTTTTGTCTCTTAACGATATATTGTGTGCAACACATTGGTTGAACCATGGATTTTTTCTTTGGTTGCAATCTTTAATTTACGCACCGGTACGTATTTCTCATAAAGAAATTTTGTGTAAGCTCGCAGTTGTTCTACTTGGGAATCGACATCATCCATGTTAAATATTATATTCCAGTCATAAGTGTTAAATTCATCATTAATATAGGTTTAGTATAACACAATTGCATTTAACAATAACTATAAATATATGTACAAATGCATATAACAAGTACGTGTGTACATGCTGTGCAGTGCTGCCACACATACACTTAAACACGCCTTTGTGCAAGGTATACGAAATTTAAGGTATGGAAATTCAAAAAGTCGGACTCCTATTTGTTGCATAAAGGGTTGCAGTCTTGATTGTGTTTTTATATCCGCTCGAGATCTCTCTCGATATGTGTTCTGTAAGTACTGGCAACGACATATTCTTGCAGTGTGCCTTCCGTAATGCCGGAATACCTTACCTTATATGTATGTACATATGATTTAGCATACTTTGACTTTGTCTATGTTTTTGAAGAGGGGGCTGTTGTGTTGGTGGTGGGAGCGGGAGGGAAACAGGTTTCCCCTGC